TAAGGAAAGAGAGCCCCAGAACGCAGGGACCTGCCAGAGGCTGTACCTCAGCTGCTGCACCTGGGAGCTGTTTACCTGAGGGGTACTGAAATGCAAGACGGAAGGGAACTGTGGTCTCACCCCTCCAACCTGCCCCTCGGAGAATATTTGAAATTCAGGGAGCGAGTGGAGGGTGGGTTCGCAGGAACACCCTGGGGGTGGCCTCGAGCCCGTGAGAAGCTGCACGCTGTCTGCCCGGCCACCTACAGTCAACTGACACAGGCATGCTTGGACCCAGCAAGGGCTGCACCATGGCACGCTGCCATCCCCGGGCGTCCCCAGAGGGGTGGGCGGCACCGCATCTTTGACAGACTGAGCATCTTGCAAGAAACAGTTGTGGATTCTCTCCTGGACATCTTGAGGTAAGGACGGCACTGACCACAGCAGTGACTTATGATTACCAAGTCCTTATGGTGACTCCACACTGGCTGCGAGCCTTTTAACTGTGCAAAATGTTTCTCTCCTTGATTGATACCCAAAATGAATGAAGATAATTTTCTGTGCTTACTGCATTAGTGATGCCTACAAATAATTCTCAAAACGATAAAAGAAAAGGTGATTTGCATAAATAAGCAATCTTACAGGACTTGGCAGGATCAGGTTGTTTTAAAAGGGCATGAGCACAGCTCCTGACATGTAGGCAGTGCTGAAAGATGTTTCTTCAATGAGTGGAGGTGAACTAATGCAGGGAAGCAGACCGTGGAAAGGCCCGAGGGGCGATCATGTGGGTCGAGGTTAGCAGGATGGCAGCCCCCAGGTATCGCTTCTGACCTCCTCTGCCTCTGACCCCTGGTCTCTGTCTGAGTCCCCGGGGAGCCTCCCCTTGGCCTCATCCGGGGCAGCAGAGGCTCTGGCCTCCCACAGGTCCACTCCATTTGCTGGGCTTTCTCCAGCCTCTCTGGCTAGAAACTCAACCCAAACCATCACCCGATGTGTACATATCCCTCGCCCTCCTTTCTTCCAGCTGCCTGGCGCTTAGGACCAAGCTACTGCAGCCCTCCTGCAGTGTGACCCTCTTGGAGGGGACAGAGGTGCCCTCAGCCCCTCTCTCTGGGCCGTGGTTTCTCCCTGGTAGTTGGTGTTGCATTGTAAACATGACCCGGCATCGTGAACTCTCCCTTTACCTCTGCTAAGCTGTAGTGTTGACACTCTCTCCCCTTTCTTCACATTCGCACAATCCTCTCTCCAAAAAGCCTGAAAATTGCTTTTGCTGAGGACAAGGCAAGGGCCTTTCCTGGACAGTGAGTGCTTGGGGGCCGCGTTGTGCCCTCAGCCCCTGGAGGAGAGGTCTGCCCGCTCCCCACCCTGCGAGGGCAGCCCCGCTCACCTCCATCCCGGCATCCTTCTACCTGAGAGTTCTCACCTGTGGCAAGAGGTGCGTCTTACTCCTGCTGGGTGTGTGGCCGGGCAGCCGGATGTCGAAGAGGGCCTGCAGGGCGGCCTGTGCTGCCCGGCCCTTGGCCAGCTTCTTGCTGCGCCCCGAGCCCTCAAACGTCCTCCCATCCACGCACACAGCCATGACGAAGCTCTTGGCTCGGGGCTTCTCGGCCGCCTCTGAGAGGCACACATAGCGCAGGCCGGCGCGCATCTCATTCAGCACCACCACCGGGTCCAGCGTGTGGCAGGGCAGCCATCCCCGCCGGCAGGCCGTGGACCGCAGCCCGGTGTCGACGGGGCGGCAGCCCGGGAAGCCCTGGCTTGGCGTGGGAGGCTCGAATTCTTTGAACAGCGTGTCGGGGAAGTCAGCCTGGTCAGAGGTGAAGTCCGTACAGGGGCTGGTGCCGCCGCCCAGTGCCAGGTGGGCCTGGCATGCATTGGGGAACTGCACAAAGGACTTGAGTGCCAGCTCCGCTGCCCGCATCTTGGCTTTCTTCTTGGTGGGCCCCGTGCCCTCAAACGTGAGCCCGTTTACCTCCACTGCCACGGCAAAGACCGGGGCATGCACTGGGCCTGTCTGTGACACCATGCGGTACTGCAGGCCTGGCCGCAGCTCGTGCAGCTGGACCAGCGCATTCTTGGGTGCCATCGACCATGAGAGCTTCTTCCAGATGAGCTGGAGTTTGCAGAAGTGGCCCCCATTCCCTTCCTCCAGGGGCCTTTTCCTCTTCACACTGGCTGTGCTGCCCCTGGTCCAGTCCCCAGGCAGTGGGGGCCTGGTCCCCAGGTTGCTGACATTGCGATTCTCCTTCACTTCTGTGCTGCTCGTACCTGGGGATGAGAACAGACCAGTCACGACTTGGGCACTGGCAGGTGCTTCTGAGCACAGAGACTGCTACTAGTGACCGCACGCAAAGTTTGGGACCCACTACGGAGCCCTTGCCCTCAGCACCGCAGACCAGGCCCCTGAAATGTGCCCGGAGCACCTGTGCTGGCTGGGAGGGTGAGTGCCTGTGAGGACCAGCTGGCCATAGGAGGAAGGACCCAGTTCTCGGCAGCTCTCAGAAAGAGTGGGTGCACAGCAGGTCCTGCTCACAGCTTCCCCATCTGCCACTTTAAGTTGGGCTGTGATGTCACTACCAAGGCACAACCCCCACCCCCTGACCAACACAGCCCCCCAAACCAAACAGACAAGTGGCTTTCCCTCTCTATGGGTTTTGGGCAACGTCAAAGGTCAGAGGCCTTTCCTGCGGTGAGGGTGGTCTGTGTGTCCCCCTGCTGCTGGGGTCCCCAGGCTTGGGCTGATGCCCCATGAAGCCCCCAGCTGAGGAGTGGGGGGCTCTGCTTGTGTTGTGCTCCTTGGTCTCCAGCTCCAAACAGAGTTTCTTGTCAAAACTCGACCTTTATGGGGGTGAGAATGTTGGAGTTTGCTTAGATCTCCGTGGAGGGGACGGTGAGAGCTGGCCAAGATTAGGCTGGACTCTCGGTGTGCGGCCCAGTACTCGGAGAACTACGGTAACGAGGAGGCCTCTGACTGGGCCCTGCCCCACCCAGAGCCCAGACTTTGCTGCTTTGTACTCCCCGAATCAGCCCTGGACGGGCATCATGGTCCCCCTACACAGGCGAGGAACTGAAGCTCAGAGTGGTGGGAGTTAGTCTGCTGAGGCTGTGCACTGGACTCGTTCTAGATGTGAACCAGTCCTGGGAGTCAGATTCCCCTCATCCGTGTCGCTGCTGTGAAGGTGACTTTTATGGAAACTGAATGTCCTGGCATTTTCTTAGCCATCACACATGACACCCTTTTCTGAGCTCTCAGAAGGTGAGGATGATGCTGAGACCGGGTCAGCCCCATGTGTGACGGAGCTGTGAGAGCCCTCGCAGGTCGTGTTTCTGCACCCCTCGAGGCCTCGGGCGCTGGGTGGCCTCAGGTCCATGCATTCCTGCAGGTGCAATGAGCTCCCTCTGGTGAAGTGAGTGGAAGCCTGAGGCGATCTTCACAGCCAGCCCACAGCTTAAAAATAGAGGCGAGGGCCTGGCGGCATGTCAAGTTGGGGACACACTTCAGTCATGTGGCCCGAGAGCTGGCAGGGTGAGGCCTGGCGACTCAGCACCTACCCCACCCCTCGGTTTATGATGTTGTTGGAGGATGACAGAAAAAGTACAGCTTCACAGGCACATGAGACACCCTGACAATTAGGCAGCCTCAGGAGGTTTCCTGGCTTTTGAGGACATTCTTTTCAGCTGGGGCCAGCATTGGTCATGCAGCTGTGGATGTCACCACCATCTCTGGGAAGAGACAAATCCAGCCTTGGGAGGCCTCAGGCCCTGCTAGGAAAGTGCTCTCTGTTTGCTAAAATCTCAACTTCTCACTAGTTTGATCTTCTGAGTTGTGAGGTGGTTCTATTATTGTTTTTCTCTAGCAATTTGCTTCTAAAAAACCTTAGGTTTGTGAAGTAATTTTGTTTGAGTGTGAATCTGAGAGCTTTATAAGTTGTACATTCATTTACAATCTATTTCAGTACAAACAATTACCTTCTGAACCATTTAATCATTATGCACTTTGGGTATATCTGCAGCATTGAGCTCCATCATTTAGGGTATTTCAGGCCAGTGGGTAGTAGATTGGACTAGCCAGATGATTTTCCAAATTGAATTTAAAGACGGAAACAAAACACAACACGACCCCAAACTCCCACACCAGATTGCCTAGAGATTTGATTGGAGCTCTCTAATTTCTTACTGATTTCTTGGAAGGTGGGCATGGTGTAAGGCTGTTAGTGGCTAACGTAGCCAGTGCTTCAGATGACCTCTGGAGTATCTCAGAGTGACAGAACTCACAGATCAGCGCTTTTCTCTCCTACTGCACTGAAGTGCCTTTCAACTCTTTTCTTCCATGACTCTCAGCACCTGTAATTGTTGAAATCAAAGTTTTCCATGGCATAAACCATGATGACCAGATTGTGGTATGAGGGCCCCTTCCGTAATAATCAATAATCAATAATAACTGGAAAAAAGTGCAGAGGTCTGGAACCTATCCTGGACACATTCGCTAGGATCTCTGGGGCAGACATTACCCATCATCTTTTGTGGACCCCCTGAATGAGGGCTAGACTCCACTTCCTGGGGCTCTGGGGTCAGCAGGTTAGAAATCAAACATCCTCTCCATTGTTGATGTGTGTGTGATCGTAGGTGAGTCACTTCAACTGTCCCAAAATAAGAATTTTAATAGTATTTGCCTTATAAGGTTATGATGAGGATGAACTAAGGTGGCCTATATAATGTTCTTGCAAAAAGCCCAGCACAAGGCAAGTCTAACACATTTTTAAAAACAGCAGGGAAATGGGAAGGCAGACGCTTCCAACTTCTCTCTTTTCATCTAGGCCTGACTTCTCTCCAGCGTATCTTATTGCTGGACTTCTCGATCGATTTTCCCAGGAATTCCAAGATTCCCCATAAAGAAGGCTAATGGAGCCTTCATGTCCCTGGATGGACGGGCAGATTGCCATCTGCCCCCTGGACAATGACCACTCCCTCCTAAGTGGCCACGAACAGCACTGGCTTCTCCACTCACAAAATGAAACGTATCCCCTCTCTGTCTCCAGTTGGCAAGGCAAATGCTTTTTCTCACGAAATCTTGCAAGAATCTACTGAGTGTCTGTGGCCTTGGAGGTTCTGAGGCGTATGAAGAGAGGACACAGTCTCCGCCCTTGGGCCGCCGGGGCCCAGTGGGAGCAGCACAGACCTCCTCATGCTCCTGCCGCGGCAGCCACGGGGTCCTGGTGGGCACAGGGCAGGCCCCAAGGAGGGGAGCCGGGTGCCCTCTGGGGTGACCTCCTGCACCCACGATGCCCAGAGACACAAAGAGCCCATCACAGCAGAGCTCAGCCTCTGCTGGCATCAGGCTTCAGTAGTTCAATGTGAGCACCTCACAGGACCCAGCTCTGATTTTACAAACATTTTGTACATCCACATGGAAAGTGCTCAAGATGTCACTGCTCCTCCCTGAGCCAGGACAATCTTCTTGCTTTTTTCTCCATTTTGTCACCAGGTTTCATGCACTCGATTGTCACATATGCTAACCCAGAGGTGAAAGGTCTGGACACCACGGGAGCTCTTCTTTTTTTTTTTTTTTTTTTTCCTTTTTGTCTTTTTTTCGTGTCCAGCAACGGATTGCAACCCTCAGTGTCGCGCCCGTACCGGACCGGGACCGGCAATGGGATCGCAGCCCTCGGTGTTGCCCCCGCACCTCGCTCGGCCAGTGAGCGGGAACCTGTCTGTATGTGGGATCCGAACCCTCGGCGGGAGCGCCACTGTGCTCCCAAGCGGCGCACTGTAGCAGTGCGCCACCGGGCCGGCCCACCACGGGAGCTCTTCTTTTTTTTTTTTTTTTTCCTTTTTGTCTTTTTTTCGTGTCCAGCAACGGATTGCAACCCTCAGTGTCGCGCCCGTACCGGACCGGGACCGGCAATGGGATCGCAGCCCTCGGTGTTGCCCCCGCACCTCGCTCGGCCAGTGAGCGGGAACCTGTCTGTATGTGGGATCCGAACCCTCGGCGGGAGCGCCACTGTGCTCCCAAGCGGCGCACTGTAGCAGTGCGCCACCGGGCCGGCCCACCACGGGAGCTCTTCTAACTGTAGACGTGAAAAGCTCCTTGTCCACACACCTCTTTGTGGGGTTGTAGCGCTGGGATCTACGTGGGGTGTGTCCACCTGGAATGGTGTTGAGGATCTCCCCCTGCAGCTGGGTGCTGCACCAGCTGCCCTGGGGTCTGCACACCAGCAGCCGTGCCTGTGGTGGGAGGGGAGACCCAAACCCTCCGCCTGCTCTCGTTCCTGCTGCCCTGTGGGAATGGCCCCCCGGGGCCGTCTGCCCTTTCTCTCAGTATTTCTAGGCGCATCCCCAGGCCCATGATGTGCACGCCCATTGGGTAAGAGAGTAGATTTCAGGGGCTCCCACCCCACGGGCGCACATGGGTGCACATGGTTGCACTGTGGGAGGTATGGGTGTGTGCCTTTGATTGCCTGCTGGCATCATGTCACCACGCATGTGTGCACCAACACATCCTGCTGTACACCATGAACGTGCACAGTAAAAGGCACACTGGAGAGAAGCGAGTGCCACCCAGCCTCCCAGGGCCGACAGGGGCACTGCTCCTGCGTGGTTCCCTCTAGCCCTGGGCCTCCCGGTTCCCACCCTGCATTTTCCCGTCCCTCGCCGAGGCTTGCAGGCTCTCTGGAGGTTGACTCCGAAGCTCACGGCTCAGGTGGCGGGCCGTGTGTCTCTCCAGAGTCAGGTGTGAACCCACTGCACCCCTGCGGGCAGCCAGACATGGCCACATGGCTTCTGAGACCCCGGGGCCGTCACATGGTTCCAGACGGACCTGCTGTGTGGGCCCATGGTGAGAGTCAGTGGAGATGAGGCATGGGAAATTTTCGCAGCACCTGTCAACCATGGCAGGCACGCGGAAAGCATGTCCTGCTGTGGTGACGATGATTAATCATGACCGTAGAAGATGGACGTTGAGGCTGAAGAGGACATACAGCCACCAGCCTCCCAGGGTTTCTGCGGCTTCTGGGGTTACAGGATTGGAGGGACCCAGGTGACAAAAGTGCCTTGGTTCTGAAATGCTTTCGTTATACACACGAAACAATTCAGACGAACGGTTCATAACGGGATATAAGAATTAGTGAATCCCTTAATTCCACTCTGGAATTCATTCTCCCAAATAATTATTATTCTGCCCGGTGGCGTGGTGTAGACGCCAACTATGTCAGCGCTGGGAGAGTCTCTGCAAGAACCGGCTCCCCTCCACAAGGCACGGGCTGGGAGGCCGTGTGATGTCAGCTGCAAGTTCGGGTGCACTTAAGGGGTGCCCGTCCCCCCACTCTCTGTCTCTGTGTCTCTCTCTGTCTGTTTCTCTGTCTTTCTGCCTCTGTCTCTGTCTCTGTCCCTGGGTCTCTGTGTTTCTGTTTGTTTCTCTTTCACACGTCCCATTGGTTAAGGCTCCTCAGGGTCACTAACTTGAGCTGGGAGCCATAGATTCTTACCAACTCCCAGAGAGTCCCAGTAGGTACACACGCCTGAGTGTGTAACATAATGCACACACATGTGCATGTGTGCGTGCATGCGTGTGTGTGCTATCAGCCTTGCAGGAGAATGCAGGGCAGCGAGAAGAGAGCGGGATGCTGCAGTGACCCTGGAGGTCCACAGTGGCTCCCACCAACCCTTCCCACTCCTGTTGGGGGCTTGTGCTCCCTTCCCCCCTTGGACATTCCTGATTTGGACTCCAAACACCTTTCCTATGGACCAATCCCAGTGGAGCCAGTGGGGGTCCACAGTAGGGGTCACCCTGGGCTCGCTGGGACAGTTTCCTCCCTCCAGGCATCACACGCAGAGTCGCAGTTGTGGAAATTACAAACAATTTGGAGACACCACGTGCCATAGGAAGCATCTAAGCCAGGGGGGAATCCACAGGGTAAACGCAAGACAAAACGATCTCCGCTCTGCTTCTCACCCACGACCCGCTCCCCAGCTTCTTAGTCACGTTATCTCACTTGACAAAGTGTCAGCGGTTGTAGTGTTAAGTCTAAAGGCTCGATGCCGAAAAGAGCTGCATTTTGGGGAGAAAAATAAAAATTCTGTATTGCTGTGGCTGTGGTGACGCTGTTATTTTCTGAGTGAAAGATCTGGGTTTGTTAAGTTGAGGACACAGTGCAGCACCCGGGAGGCTGGGGTCAGCGCCGATGCTGTGCAGGAGCCCGTCCTCGTTAAATAATTGTACATACCGTGCTCTGAGACAGTGTGTGACTATTTTTCTCCTTTTTGGTTTGGACAAGAAAACAAAGAAAAGAGAGAAGATGGTCCAGGAAAATTGGTTTATTTCCTACAATCCCTCGGGTTTTTAGTCATACGGACAGTACTGACACTTTCCTGGCCTCCAGGGGAGGATGGGACCGCAGGGGAGGATGGGACAGTGGCGGGGGTTGGGGAGCACAGCCTCCTGCTCTGGGGAAGACCCCCACCCAGGCCCCTAGGGTCTCAGACTTGGGAAGGGGCTGCTTACTGAGGTTGTCTTCATCCTCTGTGTGTGTGGGGCCGGGACTCAGGTACTTGAAGGGAGCGAGGCAGGTGGACAGGACGCTCGTTTTGTCTGCAAGAGAAGAGGACAGAAGCGCTCCGTGACATGCAGGCCCAGAGAAGCTCGCGCCCCCACGCGCTCATGTGCCGAGGGGCTGCACAAGGGGGAGGTCGTTTGGTTCCGCCACTTCATTCTGTTTGCAGCCTTTACTGAATTTCTGACAGCCTTTTATCAAATTCCTGTCTCCGCTCAACTTTATGATTTCCACCTTTCTTCTCTTATTTTTGGCACCTTCCCTCCTCTTGTCCCTGTCCCTCAGAACTAAGAAGTCGTCTTGGGGGTAACCATCTTGCATCTCTTACGAGATGCTGGCTGGGGCTGCGCCTGCCAGATGGAGGTCACTCTACAGAGAGGAACTGAAGAAGATGAAACCCCACAGTTTAAAGGGAATCATGCAAACGAAGCCAGAACCGCTCTCCCCCGTTTGTGGAGAACCTGCTTCGTGGGCTCAAAGTGCCCAAAAATAAGTCGTGTGTCTTTCTGCAGGTGCTGAGCAGAGCAGGAGGGGTGGGTGGGGACAGCAGGGGGAGGGTGTGGGCAGAGGGCCTCAATGGTCCGTCCTGACAATGGCAAGTGTCCGCGATGCTGTGAATGGAGTCCCAGGACACGCCCACAGCCCCTGAGGTCGGGCAAGCAAAAGCTTGGAGGGTGATTGTCCTGTCGCAATGTGGAGGGCAGGTCCTGGGCACGGGCACTCTGCGGCCCAGCCAAGGAATGGGCTGAGTGAGGGATGTGCTGGCGACAAGAAAAATGTGCCTGTTCCTGTGGTCTCCGCAATTTCTCTCTTAAACAGAGCGGTTAAGAAATTGCAGGTTGGGGGCCGGCCCGGTGGCGCACTGGATAGGTGCGCCGCTTGGGAAGCGTGGTGGCGCTCCCGCCCGAGGGTTCGGATCCCACATACAGACCGGTTCCCGCTCACTGGCTGAGTGAGGCGCGGGAGCAACACCGAGGGTTGCAATCC